TTTTATGATATTGAACATTGATTTAATAATCGTGAATCTAAATACTCACGGACTGGAATATAATTTATATGTGATTTTTTATAATTGATTAAAGAATTGTTATTGAAACATTGATTTCAATAATTATAATTCTAAATACTCACATTCTGTAATATAATTTATATCAATTAAGTTTATTAGTGAATTATTATATATTTCTTTTTAAATTCAACGGAGTCTTGCTCCATTAAACTTTTATTAATAAATTAGGTGTAAATTTTAAAGATACATATAATTTATTTTACATTTATTGAAACTGGCTAAAAATAACATTTTACGGTCCGACTCATCGTTGCCTAAGTGTAACTTCAGGAACTGATGGCCAAAACCCCATCAGATGTAATTATTATATATAAACAATAATAAACACCAGAGAAAAAAGAAAGCAATAAAGAAAATTATTTCGAACAAGAAGGCTTTGAGAACGTGAAGATTTAATTATCAATTATAAAGTTGTTTTGATCAATTACAAATTAGTACTGAGGATTTCAAGAAAAGATTACGTTTATTAAATAAAGTAAATAAATAATGACAGAGGTTGGGCTGATATTAAAACATAAACAAGATGAAAAGAAATCAATTAATGAGCGCATTTAGTAGAGGTTAATATTTTTAAAACATCCTAAATGATAAATACTGAACTCCTTAAAAATAAATAATAATTAAAATAATTATTACTTATTTCCTTTTCGGGAAAAGTATGCAACTTTTTTCCTATTTGGTAGATTTGTTTTATTGGCTATAAAATTTATTAAACGCAACTTGCAAAGTCGTGTAATTTAACAAAATATATTCATCATTTGTAATATATAAAAAAATTGCGATATTTTATTTGATAAAAAAACTCTTAAATACATACTACACTTAGTGCTAAGATTTTATGATATTAAAAAAATTAATAAATTCTTTATGATTTCATAAGTAAAATACAAACAAAATATATAATTTTAAATAAAATTTATAAATTAGATGTATCAAAATTATCATCGTCTCATCATCGTCGCCTAATTAAAAAATAAAAAATAAATAAATTATATATAAATGAAAAATGAATATAACATAAATAATAATTGATAATTACTAGAATTTATTTGGTAAAAAGATGCCGTTAATTCCTCAAGTGTTTTTTCAAAATTTTCATCATTTTTAGGTTTTGGAAGATTTGAAAAATTTAGAAGTCTAATGGTATAAATTGCTTGTGGATGTGTTTTATAATTAAGTGGAGTTGTGATTGTTGTTTGATTTTTAGAAAATTCATCGGCTTTTTTAATTTGAATTCTAATTGCACCAGTACTGTACAAATAATCATAATCATATTTCTTCAATTCTTCAAATAATTCTTTAAAAGTTGGATGGCGAGTAATCCGAGCATCCCAACATCGCATAATCATTTGTGTAATCAGTTTAGGAGTATGAAATGGAATTTTTGGTCGTAATCTATTACATATTTTCAGTATCATGTGCCACATCGGGATATGGTGGTAAACCAGTAATTACTTCATAAGCAATAAATGCAAATGAATAGACATCAGCAGCCTTTGTATATTCTTCCCCACATAATACTTCAGGAGCTATATAGGGCAATACTCCAAAAACATTTCTCTTTTGGGGATTTTCTACATTTTTCTCAATTAATTTACTTAACCCAAAATCTGAAATATATGAATCAGTAAAACCAAGAAATGTTAAAACATTTCCAGGGTGGAAATCGTGATGTACTACATTTAATTCATGAATGTCTGTAAAATTTCTTGTTAAATCTCTTAAATAATATAATTTCTTTTCCCAACTAATATTATTAAAATTATTATTTAAATAATTTCTAAGATTTCCACCTTCTAAATAATTCAATACCATCATATATTTATGAGTTTCTTGATCTTTTGTAATCCCAAATAATCTGATTGATGAATAAGTTTCCATCGTCCTCAAGTGAATTGCCAACTCTAAATAAAAAACATTTTTTTAATTATTTATATTTTTAAACAAATTTTACATTAATTAAAAGTATTACTTTTACCTCATTTAAGAAATCTTCATTAATATCATTAATATCTCCAATATCATCAAACTTTTTTAATACCACTTCTTTTTTACTACGTCTTTTCGATTTAATAATTTGTCCATCGATCCATTGAGCATAATAGATGGTACCAAAACCACCTTTTGCAATTTGTTTAATATCTTTGAATCTATCATAAGATATCCATTCTATTGCTTTCGATTCCCTATCTGCATTTAGTTGACCATCTTGAATAAATTTATCTATTGCATCATTTCCGCTTGTCCATTTATCGAAATCATTTCTAAAGCGTGTTGAGTTGCACGGCTTACACCACCAGCCATCATATTCTCGATTGCATTCTTCACAAAAAAAAATCTTTTGTTCGCTAATATTATATAGCGAAGAGAATTTTAAATTTAAAAAAGATATCAATAAATAAATTTATATCTGAATTATCCGAATTTACGTTTTGTTAAAAATTGCTTTGGTATGAATGGTAAATATATAATATATGTATATATATTTTATTTTCGCTAAGAGTAAGAATAATAAATAATATATTACAAAAAAAGGTCATATGATATTTTAATCATTTGGTGGCTTGGCTTGATTTATTTTATTCAAATCCTTTTTTGAGCAAATATAAAGAAAAAGTTTATTTCTTTCGAAATTGGTAAGCAGAGATCAAAGTAAAAAGTTAGACGAAGATAAGCCAGGAATAAGAACAAGTTGAGTCCTAAACATAGTTCAAATAATAGATCATTTAATATATAGAACAAATGATCATGATCATCATTAAACATTTATTGTATATTTATTCTTAAATAATGAAAATCGAAAAGAATTAATTAATAAAACAATACATTTCAAAGAAAGAAGTTTCTAGAAGAGAAATGACATTTGGAATGTGTTTGTAAGAACTAGAAACAAGTCTCTTCAAAGGTAAAAAAAAATTATTCACATTGAATCATCACATTATATTCATTTATTTATAAAAATTAACTTTTCTTTTTCTGAAGATAATAGACAAAATATTTTAATTTCCAATACAAATTTCTGGCGAAGGTTTGATTTGTTTTCATTTTATTTATAAATCTACTTTCTTTTTTTGAATATGATATTGAAGAACTGACAAAATATTTTAATTACCAATACAAATTTCTGGCGAAGGTTTGATTAAAATAATTATTGAATTTTAAGTTAACTTCTCGAAAATTTTAATTAATTTTAAATAATTTCAAAAATTTGGAATAAATTAATTATATCAAAAAAAATGCAATGAATAAAATGATAAAATAAGCAATGATAACTTTTTTTGTCATTTAGTATTTCTAATATCACCATTGATTCCAATAATCAATTTTTCCATGATGAAACCCAACAAAAAATAGATAATAAAAAATTTTGAGGAAATTTCATACACAGTTAGTTAATATTCTCGGAAGATCATCCTAAGGTAACTTTTTTTTATCATTTGGTATTGCTAATATCACCATTGATTCTAATAAGCAATTGTGTGATCCATGATGAAAACCAACAAAATAGATAATAACAATAAGAAAATTTGAAAGAAAATTTCGTACAAATTAAATTTTGGGCGATCATACTAAAATAGCTACTTTTTTTTTTGCCGTTTAGTATTGCTAATATCACCATTGATTCTAATAAGCAATTGTATGATCCATGGAAAACAAACCAAATAGATAATAAGGAAAATTTCAGCAGTTAAATTTTGGGTGATCATACTAAAATAACTTTTTTTTTGTCAGTTAATATTGTTAATATTACCATTGATTCTAATAAAGAATAATAACTTTTTTGTCATTTAGTATTGCTAATATCATCATTGTTTCCAATAAGCGATTATAGTCATCAACTTGGAATTTTTATATAAGCAAAATTCTTGATTTTGCTAACAAAATATAATAAAAAAATCTTAATAATAGGTAATAGATTATGAATTATTCATCATATCTTTATGAATTAAGAGCATAGGGCAAGTCACAATTTTGATCATCATGTTACTCAAATATTTATATTTGATTTATAATAGAATTCAATTGATTTACAGTCATTCATATTGTCACAAATGTGCAGAGTATTTTGAACACTTTCACCTACACTAGTCAAATACAAAAGAATTGCTGTACTGAATGGTAATTCCTATATAATGGATCAGCTAAAAATCAGTAAAAATCAACTATCCTATATTATAAATCAGCTAAAATCAGAATTCCTTTTCAGTATGGCAATTCTTTTGTATTTGACCTGTGCTATCAGTCTCAGAGTTTATCTCACACAAACTAATTTTTTAATATACTCTATCTCGAGCAATCCATTTCTCTAAACTTGCCTATCTCAAAGCAGATAATAAATATAATATAATTCTTTTTAATTCTTTATTTTTAATCTGAAGGCTCAGTGAGTAAGCTGAAATAAAAGTGTTGACACAGTATCAAATAATATTTAACAATATTTTGCAATTATTAAAATTTAAAAGGTAATTTAAAAGTAAAGTAGCACTTAACAACAGAAATATTACAGGTTATGTGTCTGTTTTACCATCCTTAAAGGAAGTTTACTTTTCTATCTAATAATATTAATGTTCAAAACTATCTGTAATTATTAATTAACTGAAGTCTAAGAAACTACTAAGATTACTGTTTCTGTCTCCAGTGACCACTTCTTTTTTATACTTTTTCACCTTCATTCAAATTTTACCCGTTATCCTTTGTACATCATCCTTTATCCTCATATGTTATCATTTGGATGGCAATACAAGTCATTATCCTCATACAATCAGTGTTACCACTTATCATCCCCCGTGATAATTTGCATGCTTACAAAATTACTTTGCCACTGTATGTTGGACTTCTGAACATCCAACTTTCATCTAACTATATAATTTTTTGAAATTGAAGATAAGCTTTATAATAATATAGTGGATAATTTTTTTATGCGTCAACTTAAAATTGCAGATGAAAATCAAAAAAAAAATACATCAAAATCTCAAAAGCAAGAATTATTTGAATTATTTGAATTATTTTCAGATTCAAGTAAGTCACATCCGCAATCATGTTATATTGGCTGATATATTGAAACTATTCATAGATTGGATGATTTATTGGAAGAAATAAAATCTGGGAAATCTTTAGGTATATTCTTTAATAATTTTATCTAATAAATGACATAAATTACAAAATTAAAATTTTCTTGAATTTTTAAATTTATAGATCCTAATTTTATCAAAGCTTAATGAATCAACTATTTTAAGGTTCAATTCTTATGATATTGTTCTGGAACTTCAAATTCAAATGGAAAAAATTATAATTTTTTAATATTTCAACCTTGGATTAGATTTCATTCCCAAAAATTTAAAAAAATTTTTAAAAAATTAGTATAAATAAAGTGAATGATATTACATTTATTTTATATACATATGTTTTATTTTAAAAAAAAAATTGAAAAAATTCTGGTTCCAAAATATAATATTATTTTGTTATTAAATTTTTGCCATGGGGATTAATCTCTAAATTATATTTTGTATGGGAGCTTATGCTCATTTATTATTAAAGGAATCTATTTATCTTAAAAATATTTTCGCGTGCACATAAATGAACTTTGTTAGAAAATAAGATGATAGATGGTTTGAATTCAATTAATTTTCTTTTAACCTACGGAGCCTTGCTAACTATAAATTACATATAAATCAACATAACTATACATATACATAAGTCCTGTAATAATAAGCCTTATTAATTTTTCTAATGAGGATGCTCGATTTACCTCGGTAAGTATCTCGATCATAATCATTTGTTGATATTTATTTATTTACTTTAAAGTTGTTAAAATTATAACTAAAAAAAATTCACCTGATAAATTCATTTTAAAAGTCGTTAAAATTATAACTAAAAAAAATTTCATTTGATAAATAACATTGATAGTTCTTTTTTAATTAATTTATTTTTGGGCATGACTCCATTGAATTATAAAAAAAAAAAAATTAATTCAAATAAATATGATAAATTTACGCTCTTTACTTAATGTTAAACTTAATAAAATATATGAAAAAGAGATAGTTTAAAGTACGTTTCCTCTTTAAAAATCATCAATATCATTATCTGAATAAAAATAAAATAAAATTATATTAATATGATTAATTACGAATTAATATATATATAATTAATACTTACTAGTAATTATATGGGGAAAAGATTCTGATAATTCATCAAGTTCTTTTTCAAAATTTGGATCATTTACAGGTTTTGGGAGGTTTGAATAATTGAGAAGTCTGCTAGTATAAATTGCTTGCGGATGTGTTTTGTAATTAAGCGAAGTTTTAGTTGTTGTATCAGTTGCTGTTTGATTTTTAGAAAATTGTTCGGCTTCCTTAATTTGAATTGCAATTTCATTATTCTTTTTATGCACTTTATATTCAATTAAATAATCATGAAAATATTTTTGTAACTCTATATCCAATTCGTCAAAAGTGGGTCGATGGGTAACTCGAGCATCCCAACATCGCATGATCATTTGTGTAATTAATTTAGGAGTATGAAATGGAATTTTCGGTCGTAACCCATTGCATATTTTCAAAGCTAGTTCTTCATCATGTGGCACATCCAGATATGGTTGAAAGCCAGTAATTATTTCGTAGGCAATAATTGCAAATGAATAAACATCAGCTGCCTTTGTATATTCTTCCCCACCTAATACTTCGGGAGCTATATAGGGTAACACTCCAAAAACAGTTTTCTTTTGAGAATTTTTTACATTTTTCTCAATTAATTTGCTTAACCCGAAATCCGAAATATGTAAATCTGAATAATTAAAATTAGATGACAAAATATTTCCAGGGTGAAAATCCTGGTGAATTATGTCTACCTTATGAATTTTTGTAAAAAGGAATGATAAATCTTTTAAATAAGATAATTTCTTTTCCCAATTAATATTATAAAAATTATTATTTAAATAATTTCTAAGATTTCCATCTTCTAGGTATTCTAATACCATCATATATTTATGGGTTTCTGGATCTTTTGTAATTCCATAAAATGGGACGAATGTATATGTATTTTTATTCATGTCCATTGTCTTCAGGTGAATTACCAACTAATAAAAACATTTTTTAATTATAATTAATATTATCACATAATTTTAAACTAATTTTTATATTATTAATTCAGATTATTACTTTACCTCATTTAAGAAGTCTTCATTTTTATCTCCAATACCATCAAACTTTTTTAATGCCACTTGTTTATATTCATCATATCTTTTCCATTTTTGATTTTCAACATCCCATTCACGAATTGGTCCATCGATCCACTGAGCACGATAAATTGTACCAAAACCGCCTTTTGCCACTTCTTTAATATCTTGAAATCTATCATAAGGTATCCATTCTATTAATTTATGAAAATCATTATTATTTAGTTGGGAATCTTGAATAAATTTATTTATTATATCATTTCCACTTGTCCATTTATCAAATTCATTTTTTAAATGTGTTGAGTTACACGGTTCGCACCAATATCCTACAAAATAATCTTGATTGCATTCTGGGCATGTTTCGGTAGATTTAAGCCTCATTTTATTCACTATATAGTATGTAAAGTAGAAGTCTATTTTTTTTAAAATAAAATATCAAAGAATATAATTTTATTTGAATTCACATTTCAATGAAAAATACATACGGTTTAAAAAGAAATTTTTCGGACTTCAGAGATAGATTTATGTGTTATTTGTCTTTATTTATTTTTATTATCTTAAACAGCTAAGAATGAACAGAAATAGAGGAGAATGATGAATCGGAAAAAATTATTGAAACGAATAATCTTAAAAATAATTAAAAATTTATTATTGGATATACCGGATCTACATGATGCATTTAATCTCGTGAGAATCGGAAATATTACTTCCTACGATCTGCAATTCAAAATGAAATCATTGGTAAAGTTGATATCATTAAGGTTGGGTTGAAATGAGAAATAGACTTCTCATTTGAAGGTAATATAAAGGGAAACGATCAGGACCACAAAAATATTAATCGGCGATACTTTTGTTCATCGTAAATTTTTTTAGGCATAAATCTACGACACCTCGTAATATTACGGTATTTATACGGCCGTTATGCCTTTAAACCGTAATATATCGGCATCGGCAAATATCGGTGCCAAAAGGATAAAAATCATGTCATATTTTAGCCTAGAATCAGGACTTTCGTTAATCGCGATCGGAGTCAAAAAAACGGAATTTTTTGGCGTAAAAAATTAAAAAAAAATTACGGAAAAATTTCGCGGTAAAAATTTTCGTTATTTGTAAGAAGGGAGGGGTTTTTGATTATGGTATTCTTATGACCAAACGAAAGTCCTGTTAGCACCGATATTGAAAACGAAAGCATGAATTAATAAAATGATACATTCCAAAGAAAGAAATTTCTAGACGGGAAATGACATTTGGAATATATTTGTTAAAATAAAGAACAATTATGTTCAAAGGCAAAAAAATTATTCACATCGCATTCATTGTATAGTATTTATAATTATTGTATTAAGCCATTTTCTCGAAGATTTTAATTAGTTTCAAATAATTTCAAAAAAAAAAAAAATTTAAAAGCATTTAGAATAAATTAATTATACCAAGAAATGCAATGGATAAAAATAATAAATAATAAAATATGAGAGAGTTGGGATTGGTATAAGTTTGTATAATATATTATTAAATTTAATTTAATTTATACTTTAAATTTAAACTAAAATTATTTTATCATTATTTAACACATAATTAACTTTATCTTAGATGATAATAATAAATATTTTATTTTAGAATTTTGTAATATATAAATATTTATTATTTCAAAAATTTATGGATGAGCTCTCATTATTAAATGTTCAAAGATAAAGATAATTTTTTATCTATAAATTAATGAATAATCAATTAAACTAAATATATAGAAATTAAAAATTACGGGTGAAGGTAAATAATAAATTTATTTATTATTTATCATTAATATTTATTTATTTTTTAAAAAAATGATTTTTTTTTTTAATAAATAAATTTTTATTTAAGAATAAACAACAAATATAAGAAAAAAATATTTTAATTGAAACCTTAATTTAATTTAATTAAATTTTTAGTATGTCGGCGAGCCAATTATCTAAAATGAATAGTTCACATTTTAATTAGAGTTTTCTATTTTCTATTTTTAACAAGAATATTGAAGATATTCATGATTAATAATATTAAAGATAATATCGAAGACAAGTATATATCTGTGTTAATTTTTTTTTTATTGAAGATATAAGCTCATTTTAACATTAATATTAAATATTTTATTAAAATTTATTAGCATATATTAGCATATTGTATCGAAGATGTAATAATGGTAAATGTAATAATATAACAACTACAATAATAATAAAATCGAATTATTATTCTTCAATGATTTTATTTATATTTATTTAAATATTTAATTAAAATTAAAGAAAAAAATTATACAGACGATAATTGATTATAATACTAATAATAATTAATATCATTGATGAAAAATAAATTATTTAATAAATTATTGTATAATTTTTGAAGGAATATCGGAATAAAAAGTATACTTTTTAAATTTAATTCAATAAATTAAGTTCAATCTCAAATAAATAAAAAAAATATTAAAAACTATGAAATTCAGTGATTATTATTTTATAGTTATTAAAAACAATAACAAATAGTCTTCTATAAAATACCATTGATAGTCAATTTTATATCTATTTATCTAATAATATTAATTAAATTCATACAAATGTGATGATAAATTTATGCTCTACACTTCAAGTGACGACTTTTTAAATATAAATTATCTACTGACTCAAAACTAAATTAGTCAAATTTATACAAAATTGCTTTTACACTGATATTAATTATATTTAAAAATCACCAATATCAATCATCTAAATAAAAATAATTAATTAAATAATAATTATAAATGAAAAATGAATAAAAAAATATATATAATTAATACTTACTAGTAATTATATGAGAAAAGGATTCTGTTAGTTCTTCAAGTTCTTTTTCAGAATTTGGTTCATTTACAGGTTTTGGAAGATTTGAAAAATTGAGAAGTCTATTAGTATGAATTGCTTGTGGATGTGTTCTGTAATTAAGTGGAGTTGTAGTTGAAGTTTGATTGTTAGAAAATTCTTCAGTTTCATTAATTTGAATTGTGATTTCGTTACTATTTTTATACTTATTTTCAAGATAATC